GCTCCAGACTAGTCACTGCTATTGCCATTGACTTTGAAGAGTTCAATCTTTTTCACTTAATATCTCATGCACCAATTCCTTCAGTGCTACAGTTACGCTACTAGAAACAGTCATAGTCCTCAACCTCAATGATAATCCTTTCTTATTCTCTTCTCCTTCATATTCTGTCTCAGCCTATGAGAACGTTACCAATGGGTATGAGCTGCTGACCGTGGTCGCCTCTGATGCAGACCAAGTTGGTGCTACGGTTCGTTATAATGTCACTGATCCTAACTTGTATGGCGGTCTATTTAAGATTGATTATTACACAGGAGTGGTTAGTGCATCAAGTGTGTCATCAATGCCATTTGATAGAGAGTCAAGGGATAATTACACTTTCAATGTAACTGCTAGGATTTATCATGATAACGATAGTTTTATTGAATCAACTCAAGCAACGATCAATGTCTTGATACTCGACGTTAATGATTTCACTCCGCTGTTCACGAAATCGCTCTACGCATCAAATAATTTATCACAGGTTAACGCTTTTCCTGATACGGCGTTATTTGTATCAGCATTTGATCGTGATCTCTTGCAGAATGGTCAAATCACATACTCTATACAATCCAACCCTCACTTTGATATTAACTTTATTACGGGTGAGGTGTATGTGAAAACAGCTAACATATCTAAAGGCAACTACGTCCTACAAGTGAATGCAACTGATAATGGAACTACCCCACTCATTGGTTCTACTCTTATTGATATCTTTGTGAGAGCTAGCCCAGAAGAATTATTCTTTAACCACCAGCGATATCATTTTAACGTTTATGAAGATGAAGGCCCAGGATCAACTTTTGGGCACGTTAAGGCAACTTTATACGATATATTTAACGTGTCAATAGAAGAAGGGAGTGCAGCAGAATCTATTGAATATAGAATATTAGGTAATGATCCTTTTTACGTCACAGCTGCTGGTAATGTTATAACTACAGCTGGTCTAGATTATGAAACTGAATCACAATATTACTTAACTGTTACTGCCACTCTGGTTGATTTCTCTTCCATTGCAGCCACAACAGCAACCATCAGTGTCTCCCTAATAGATGTAAATGATCACCATCCTAAATTTCAGCCTTCATCCTATTCTGTTGTTATATTTGAAGATGTAGAGCCTGGGGCTGATATAATACAAGTCTATGCTTCTGATGCTGATCAAAATGGCCTCCAATCTCTTTCATACTCCATTCAAGAAGAAGGCCCTGATGATATTCCATTCTCCATTAATCCCAGCACTGGTATTATCAGTCTAGACTCTACATTGTCTACGGCACAAGGCTACCACTTTGTTGTTATAGCTACAGACACAGGTCTGTCACCAGCCTTACAGTCAACAGCTACAGTACATGTATCTGTATCTAGGAGACAAGCAGTTAAACCAGTCCTTAACAGTACACTGTACATATTTACATTACCAGAGACACTGTCTACTAATGTACCGTACACTATAGGTACAGTAGGCGGTATTATTGAAGGAAACAGGTCTATATCTACTGATACTGATGGAGTAGCTTATAGATTGAAAGAACCATCTTTCACTCCTCCTGTTAGTACACCGTTTACTATTGATGCTTATACTGGTGATGTTAACGTTTCTCTAACGTATGATTTTGATCACGAATCACAGGATCAGTTTATATTATATGTTGAGTTATACAGCACTGCTGATAATGAGACGATTTATGATACATCGCCGATTATCGTTAACTTGATTGACGAGAATGATCACTCGCCAATTTTTACATCAGCTCCAAATCAAGTTGTGATACCATTGACCACACCTCCTGATACACCTATTCTCACAGTTACGGCAACTGATGAAGACTCTGAATCTAATGGTGGTATTCTGTATTACCTTGACTCCGCCCAGTTGGGTTTTCATGTGGATAGACACACTGGAGTAATCACGACTACAAACTCTACTCTAAGATCAGGTGACTATCACATGACAGTGACTGCCAGTGACAGAGGCAGTCCGCCTAAAGACAACTCTATAAATATTACAGTGTCTGTTCTCCAAAGCATCTCTCCATTTATCATCTTTACGGAGGACTTCTATTCCTTTTCAATCCCAGAACATTCACTGCCTCCATTACCAGTCGGAACTGTTACAATTAATGAAGTCATTAATCAAACGTTTGGTACTAACGATATCTCGTTCTCATTCCGCTCGCCTCATTCCTGTTTCAATATAAACTCAAGTACAGGATCTATTACCCTAACTTGTTCTATTGACGGAGAATTAACTTCATTCCATGATTTGGTAATTGTTGCAACAGCCCCCAATGGTTTAATGGCAGAAGTAAGAGCACGTGTTAATATCAGTGATATTAATGATCACCCTCCATCTTTTGATAAAGACACATACACTGTGGTTATTTATACTAATTATAACGATACTAGCGTGATACTAACACCGTTAGTGAGTGATCCTGATCAAGGGATGAATGGAATCAGTAGATTTAGCATTGTTGATTCTAGTATCAGTAATCTCATTGATATCGATCTTAATTCTGGTCAGATATCACTGATTTCAATCAACGGATCACTACCACAAGGCGACTATAGATTCACCATTAAAGCAAGTGATTCCTTAAACTCAGCACTGAGCAGTACAGCTGTGGTTTTACTTAGCATCATAGAACCTTCTCCTAAGATACTAGAGTTTGCACATTCTTCTCTCATATTTTCAGTACCAGAAAACAGTCCAGCCGGAACTGTGATTGGTGTGCTAGAGCTAATAACTCCACATTCACTTGATCCTAGTGAATACTTGGGGAATCTACAGTTTGAGATATTAAGTGGTGATAATATTGATTACTTTCATATCGTTGATTCTAATGCGACGCTGATCCTCGTCAACGATCTCCTTGATCGAGAAGAAATGGAATCACACGTTATATTAGTCCGTGCTTCATTTATCGACTATAAAGTATCTACTAGTTCATTCATTACCGTATCAGTGAGTGATGTCAATGATAATAATCCTGTCTTTAATCAAACAGTGTATGCAGCTACAATAGAAACAATGTCTCCAATAGGATCCCATATTATTACTGTACATGCTAATGATGATGATACTGGTTTAAATGCATTGGTAACCTACTCTCTATTCAATACAACTGGCTATTTCAATGTTAGTTCCACTACTGGTGTAGTTTCTACTCTCTCTTCTTCTATACCTGAAGACCATTACAAGCTGATTGTGGTTGGAACTGATTCTGGTACCAATAGTTTAAGTTCTACTAGCATTGTATCAGTCATCGTGGAGACCCCATTGCCTGATTCCATATCATTTCAAAGTTCAAGCTATTCATTTAGTTTTGATGAGAATACACCAGCAGGCCATTACTTAGGAAAAATGGCTATTACCCAAGTCTCTTCTGCTTTGAATGGATTATTATACACTTTCATAGAACCCTCAGACTCTGCCTTAGCTGCTAATCTAGCTGACTTTCATCTTGATCCTCTAACTGGTAATCTATCTACACTATCCCTCATTGATAGGGAATTTTTCTCTGGTGGACAGTTCATAGTAAAAGCTTATCTACCATCAGTGCAAAGCCTTTCTGCAACAGCTACAGTTACTATTACAGTTAACGATGAGAATGATAATACTCCGTTATTTGATGAAGGACTGTATACTAAAACAGTAACTCAAGGTAGTATTAGTAATCCTTTATTAACAGCCTCTGCTGAAGATGCTGATACTGGGCCCAATGCACAAATACAATATTTCATTACCGGGTCCGATTTTACAATAGACTCCGGTGGTGTAGTAAGGGCTAGTGATACTAGCATGGATAGTGGTATTTATACTGCTACCATTACTGCTAAAGATGGAGGGAGTCCTTCTTTAACAGGATCAGCTACTTTACTGGTCACTGTATATGCTTCTCTACCTAGTGGGATCGGATTTACAAAATCAGCATACTCAGTGCAAAGGAATGAAAGCATTAGCACTGGTACTGAATGTGGATCAGTTTCATTAAAACCAATAGACATGGATCATGTTAGTTATATACAGTACACCATTACTGGTACTAGTAATTTTGTTGTTATTAAAAGACCGAATGAAAGCCAGCTTCAAGCATGGATACACAGCTCAAGCACTTTTGATTACGAGACTACAACATCTCATTCTTTCACTGTAACTGCTTCTCTTACCTTTACTAATACCAGCATATCCAGTGCCACTACTGATACTTCTTATACTGTCCATATCACCGATGTCAATGATAATATACCAGTGTTTCAAGGCTTGCTAGTGGACCATGGATATTACGAGGGAAGTGTGACAGAGAACTCTGGAAGTGACGTCATTGTTTGCAATGATGTTTCTGCTTCTGATCAAGATGGAGCTGCCATTAATCGTCAAATTACTTATTCTCTTCAAAATACTTTTAATAATCGTTTTAAAATTGATTCTTCAAGTGGGTTGATTCGTACTGGTTCTACTAAAATTGATCGCGAAACTAACGCCCAGTTTGTGCTCATTGTGGTAGCAACTGATGGTGGAACTCCGCCACTTTCGTCCACAGCTCAAGTATTAGTGACAATCAGTGATGAGAATGATAATGATCCAGTCCTTCAGTCCAATAATGGTTTTAATTATTATTTTAATGAAGAACAAAAAAGTGGTGTAACATTATTCACGGTATCAGCTGTAGACATTGACTCAAGCTCAGAACTCACATACAGTATAGTAGGAAGTAGTAATAAATTCAATATTAATTCAAATGGGCAGGTGAGCTCCACTGAACAGCTTGATTCAGACTCTGGCCCATCGCAGTACATTATAAGAGTACGTGTTTCAGATGGTCAGAGAAGCGATGAAGCTGATTTAACTCTTCATTTGATTAATGTTCCCAATGACAACAGACCTCAGTTTCTTAATTTCCCTGACTCTATAAGAGTAAAGCCAAACCCTGACTCCAATGATATAGCATATTTCCATGCTATTGATATTGATAATGATGGCCTAAGTTTTTCTATAGAAGGTGGTCAGTATATTAACTTATTTCATATGAATTCTAATACTGGTTTGTTAAGTAAGGACACCCCAGGTTCTTTACCTGCTGGTGAAGATATCAGTGCCAATGTGGTGGTCACTGACGATAGTCCTTATACTTTATCAACGACACAAACTTGCATACTAGTGGTACTAAAAGAGCTCCATTTTGTGCAGGAGATATATAGTTTTGAAGTACCAGAGAATACTAGTGAAAACAGTATGATTGCTTACCTTGAAATATCAACTTCATTGCTGCCAACTTTTAGCTTCACTGCTAATAATCAATACTTCTCATTAGAGGCTCAAACAGGTCGTGTTAATATTTTATTAGCAAAGGGGCTTGATTATGAAGATCGACTTCACAGGACTCTGTCATTTTCTGTTGTAGCTTCATTGACTGGCCATGTAAATAGTACAACTACAGTTACAGTCTTTGTAACAGATGTGAATGATAATCCACCAATCTTCACTGGCGCATCAACGCTCACTGCCAGCATTGATGCATCAGTGATTGGGACAATAAATGCAACTGATGCAGACTCCCCTGGCAATAACTCGCGCGTTACCTACAGATTATCAACAAATGATGATTTTATCATTGATCCTGACACTGGCGTATTACGAAGATCAAGACCATTAGAAATTGGAGTTAAGCAAGTTACTGTTTATGCTGCAGACAGTGGATCACCTCCAATGTTCTCCAGTAGAGAATACACAGTTCATATTGAGGGAGTCTCTCCTGGGGGAGGCGGAGGGGCAGTAGCTTCTTATGCTGTAGTTGGAATAATGAGTGTTTTTTTGATAATATTAATAATAGCTGTACTTATATTGGGAGTATCTCTGTATAGGAAAAAAAGGGAGAGAGTCAAAAATGAGTAAGTATTGTTATTATTGTATGTGTAGAGCTTTTAGCTTTAGAGATATAAGCAATAGAGTCTGTGAATTAGTTTCTTAATGACTTCATTATTTTTATTTATTTGTTTTAGTCGTGATCCATATTTGGATAAAGATAATGACAATTGGGAGCTTGGTGTACCAAATAAAACTGACAATAGAAATAGCAATAAAAAGGGAAAGGACTTTGAAATGAAAGGCAAAACTAGTAAGAAATAAATAATCATCCTTAAATTATGAGTTAATTTCCCTTTCTCTCTCTCTAGTGGATGAATCTCAAATTGATACGAGTGCTTACGAAACAATGTTTGGTGATGATTTCTTGGATCCGAAATCACTACCATGGTCTGACCCAAGATACAGGGATAAGGAATCAGAAACTGAAGTAATTGCTATTAGAAGAAATAGCAATAAAACAGAGAAGGGGAGAGTGCCCTAAGATACATACTAACATTACAATGCAGTAGAGAGAGAGGAGAGAAGCATATACCGGTACATGTATAAGCTATTGCTATTAGTATTAGTAGAGTGAAGGCTCATATTCACCCATTATAATAATAATAATAATAATAATAATAATAATAATAATGATATTTTAGAATTAACAAATACACTAAACTAAAGAAAACAACTAAGATCAGTTATATTTATAATAGAGTGTCATTCTCTTTTCTTCTGCTTATAGTTTCCAGCGACAGAAGATGAAGCATCAGATATCATCAACACGAGTCTATCAACAGACAACAGAGCCTCCATGACTGAACTGATTCAAGCTGAGAGGAGGCTCAGTAAAGCCGGGAGTCAAAAGGATACACCTGCTGGGCCGATATCGAGACGTGGGCGGAGACTGTCTGAGGAAGGAGGAGGTTCTGGCAGTGACCTTGACACTGAGGGATATCTTAAGGAATATCAAGACACCAATATAATGAAAGCAGGTTAGTTTATTAATAGTTATTATATGGGCTGTAACTTGAGAAATTGAAGTCAGAATCAGCTCAAACTTTCTACGTAGCATAAGTACATCAATATGTATCAGAAAATGTAATAAAAATTGGGGGTGATTTTTTGGCCATTTTTTAGAAAAAACCATGGGCTATAGTACAGGGATTTTTTCAAAATTTTGGCATTTTTAAAAATGGCTGTAACTTGAAAAATTAAAGTCGGAATCAGCTCAAACTTTCTACACAGCATAAGGACATCAATATGCATCAGAAAATGTAATAAAAATTGGGAGTGATTCCAGAGCCATTTTTCAGAAAAAACCATGGGCTATAGTACAGGGATTTTTCTCAGAAATTGGTCCATTGTAAAAAGTGGTCATAAATTCATTTATTTGTAGGTGAGCACCCCAGTGAATATGACATATTCTTAAAACCAGATCCTACTGCTAAACCAGGTAGACCATCACTGAGGAATGCCCTGTGGCCCCACAGCAGCAATCAACCTTCCATTCCTCCTTTCTTAAGAGATAGCTCTGGCACACGATTATAATACACTTCAATGCATTACTGTTACTCACAAAATAACTGAATATACTTTTACATACATTATACATATTTTATTCCATTTCCTTGTCTATTATTGTCCATTTTTGTATTTTACTTTTATATAGCTACATTTAATGTAACATTGTCAATATTTTGATATAAAATTTGATTATTTAAAATAAAAATTATTTAGCATTAACATGACATTGCAAGATATAACACTATCATCCAAAAAATGATTATTGTTGCTTATTGGCAGCTTGCTTATATTTATCAATTGGTATGGTTAGTATTAACAAATAGCTAGCTATATTGAAGCCAGTTAGTATGAAAAACACACCATACCAGTGTATAACATCAACTAAAATATGAGAGAAAAAGGCAGCCAGCATGCTTCCTAGTACCTGACCAATAAAGACCATTCCGTATACAAGGCCTACATTGTCTCGTCCGAAAATTTGTGCAATTGCAACCGGGAAAATAGAGAAGTATCCACCAATACAGAAGTTGACACCCATCATCCAAATGAGATACATTACTTTGTACATGGCACTGGTGGAATAAAGTGTAGCCATTAAGCAAGTCATGAGTGCTGCTTGAAGTACCAGTGCAAATTTAAATGAAGTCGTATCAGCTAGAAAACCCCACGGGACTCTAGCTATTAAGCTTGCTACGGAGCCAGTTACTAGTACTATTGTCATGAACAGGTCGTCATCTGCTACTTCCTCCAGTCCAAATGCTTTGTATAGTGCACGAATGAAAGCTCTGGTAGTCGCTGCAACAAAAAATACGAAAAGTAAAGTATAGAATATTGGTCTTTTGAGGACTTGAGTGAAAGTGATATTATGACTGTTTTTTGAGTTGGCGCTGATTTCTTTAAGATCAGCAGGATCTGTGTTAATCGCTGATTTCGAATCATGATCATTGGACGTAGCACCATAATCTGATGAAGATTTATTAGGAACACTAGAAGGAGGATCACTTAAGAATATCAATGCAACCAACTGAAAAAGAGCACAAATGCCACCGATTATTAAAAAGACGTATGGGACTCGGTCTAAAATCTCTCGCTGAGTGAAATACTTTTCTTCCGGTTTCGACGGGTCAAGGACAAGGTCCGGTTTCTGATTGTGAGGATTTATAAAAAACGTTTGAACGAAAGGTACCACAACCCCGCCCGAAGCAAAGCCACAGGATATGACCCCGGTTGCAACACCTTTCCACTTTGGATACCACTTGATAGCACAAGCAAGAGGACATATAAAGGAGAGTCCTCCACCAATTCCAAAACAGAATCCAAAAGTTGCAATCAGTATCCAGTAATTAGCACTCAGAGCAAAGTAAGAGGCAAAGCTCCCTGCAGACATTAGTAGACCGCCCATAAGCGTGACTATTCTAGGGCCTAACCGCCTCTCCAGTAGTCCTCCTAGTAGCGTACTCGCTCCCCAGCCTGCTAGCTGACAAGAGTAGACATATGCAGCGTCTGTGTAGCGGAGTGAAGAAGGTTTTGAGTCTGCTCTCACGTACGAGACTAGATAGGGAAGTATATTACCGAATGTGGGGCCAATACCTAGAGAGAAATGGATGAGGTAGCCTGCAAAGAGGACGAGAAGAGGTCTTGCTCTTACTGCCATGCTGGCCTTATCTTTGTGTGTGCAGCTAGCTTAGCTAGCTAGCTTAGCTAGCTAGCTTAGCTAGCTAGCTCTGCCCTTTGTAGGCGTGGCTCAATCTAAGCCCCTCCTACCGCCAAACCGCTATAAAAATTATGGACGAAGATGAGATCGTAGTCAAGTACAAAGCAAACAAGGAACAAAGCGAGTTAGAAGGATGTGACCGGTCTTCTATTAGCCTAGAAGTTAAAAGAAAAGCTCCAGAAACACGTTATTTCTACCCAAACCATTGGAGCTATGGCAGTATCTTACTAGCACTGATATGTTTCACAGTATTCATTGGATATTACTGCAATGAAAGTCCAGGAGGACTGGAGGACACTATCATCAAAGTAATGGGTATTGATGCCACACAATATAACCTGCTCTTTCTTGTGACTACATGGCCTAACATATTTGTACCAGTAATAGGAGGAGTGATAGCTGATAGAATACTAGGACCGAGATCAAGCTACATAATTGTGGTACTCATCTTAACACTGGGTCAAATTATTTGGTCTGTTGGTAGTTTCATCAATTATTTCTGGGTCGTTTTGATTGGTAGATTTTTTATTGGTGCTGGAGCAGCTACTATTACATCTGTTACAAAAATATTTCAGTTTAAATGGTGTGGCAGGAAGTATCTCACATTTGGACTGTCTGTAAGTTCAACAATGGCAAGGTTTGGAGCAGCTATAGGGTTATCGCTACCTCAATTTATATACAATGAATTTCATTATATTAATAACTCTTCATATAGGCTTGGTGCTACTGTTATGGCTGGTGTTGCTGGTGCCTTCATTGCAGTAATAGTTACTGTCATCATTGCAATTATGGATAAGTTTAGTGACAAAAAATTCACTAAAACCAGTAAAGTTAAATGCAGTGATGCAAAGCAGTTTTCCCTCCGTTTCTGGATTGCTGCATTATTAACTATTTACTATTCAGTTGTGTTAGGATTTGCAGGCATAGGGCAAGTATTTTATGCCCAGAAGTACGGCCTGTCATTAAGAGCAGCAAGCCTAGCTAATTCTTTAGTATTCAGTGCAACCATACTCCTGACACCAGTGATGGGGTATGTAATAAATGCTATTGGGTATCATTTACTATGGACAATATCAGGCATAGCTATTGCAGTAATTGCTCATTTCATTCTACTGCTAAGTAATTCAGGATTGACTTACATACCTTACATTGCTAGTATCATTTATTCAATTTCCTATACATTATTCAGCTCATCGTTTTGGCCTCTTATTGGATTTCTTGTTGAAGGTAACCAAGTTGGAACGGCATATGGAATTTTTTTGGGCGTTCAAAACCTTTTTTGGGGTCTATTGTCGATAGTCTCTGGTGTCATCATTGATAAGAATGGTTACTTTGTGTTAGAGATAATGTACTCGTTGCTGTCGTTTCTATTGCTAATGATATCAGTGTTAGTGTTAATGATTGATCTCATATCAAAGAGGTCAGTCTTGCTTTTACCTGGGACTTGTACTGCAAAAGGAAAAGAAAAAAGCATTGCCACAGAGGGAAAAAATGAAAAATAAATCAATTCTTTATTATCATTTTTATACTTTGTTTCACTAGCATTATTAGCTATCAGTTTCTTAGTATTTTGCGTGGGATGTGCTGTAAGCTTAGCCCCTCCTCATAACCAGATTATCACTACTGACAACAACATGGAGGAAGAGGAGGTCATTGTATTGAAATACAAAACAAACAAGGAGCAGAGCGAGTTAGAAGGATGTGACGGGTCTTCTATCAGCCTAGAAGTTAAAAGAAAAGCTCCAGAAACACGTTACTTCTACCCAAACCATGGAG